ACCACCGCCATCACCATCACCATCACCACAACCATCACCATCACCATCACCACAACTGTGACACCCGTAACCCGTGTACAGTATACGGGCTGTGCCACATGGACGATATAAAATAAAACAACAATTTGGCGGAAGCGGAAATACGAAATCCAAAAACATTTTTAAATCAAATCAGAGTAAGCAGCGGAAAATACAACAGGCGATCAATATCGCAAAATAACACATGTCCGAATAGTTATAATTTAACCGTACAAAATGTGGGAAATACAAGTCTCGCAAACCAAAACGTAAATCCCGTACATGATGCTGCCTCTCTCAAGTCGTCGTCTGCCGGATGCGCTAGGCGTAATCCTCGTGATCTGAAAAATGTAAACCACGAGGGCTAAGCACAACTGCTTAGTGAGTAGCCCGGGTTGAACCCGGAAATCCCGTTCTCAACGAGAACGGTACAATCGACATTTCCATATAAAAACACATGCGACGAATATATCAACACAATAAGCACACGAAAAGCAATCACAATCACGCCCGTATGGAGTCCACCATAGGGCTTAGCCGTATACCCTGGCCAAGTCCATGACCAGGGGCGAATCCACGCCCGTCACTCGCGTGACGTTGGCCATCGCATCACATGCGATCGTGCGCGTCTCCTGCGCCCGTCACTCTCGTGACAACCGATGTCGAGTCCACGACACAACGGAAACATAATCATATTCCTGTGGAGTCCACCACAGGGTCCAGCCATATACCCTAGTCAAATCCATGACTGAAGTCTTGTTCTCTGGTGATAGTTTGGTTCGCCCAACGTCTCGTCCGGTCGGGCCCGGGTCAACCCCGAGGGTCGTTTCCTCCTTCCCGGCCGAAATCCAATTTTTCAACATAATTCCTCGAGTCTGGTCCAGCGGACCAGGATTGGTCAGCCCCGGACCAGACTGATCTTCTTCCTCGGTCCGATCCCTTGGTCCGGCTGAGTGCTGGTCCGCCGCCGACCAGGAAAAAAAAATATATAGAGCTGGTCCGCCGGACCAGGCCTGGTCGGCGGCGGACCAGCACTCAGCCGGACTCGGACCGGACGACTCGGACTGGGGAGAAAAGTTCGAAAAAAAAAAATAAACTGAGCCCGGTCAGCCGGACCAACTCCTGGTCCGCCGGACCGGGACTCGACAGAACGCAAGTGGTCTGGTCCGGCGGACCAGAATTGGTCAGCCCCGGACCAGGCGTGTTTTTGCTCAGTCCGGACCGTCCTCTTTGGTCCGACTGACTCCACGTGTATTCCCAGTCTCGGTCCGGAGCTGACCACTCGTGGTCCGGCGGACCGGAACTGGGAACTTCGTCTTCTTCGCGTTTTCTCCGGTTCTGTTTCGAATTTTCTCACCCGAAACGATTCGGGGTTGCTTCCAAATGCTATTAACACATAGTTTTACATCCCTAGACATGTTCTAAGCCTCAAACACGCAATGAAATCTCGATTTGGACCATCACACATTGAAAATGAGATCTCACAAATCCAACTCAAGCCACTCACCTTGTTCTTGAGTTTGTCCGACCTTTTGTGCGTTCCTCGTGGCTCCACACGACGTGAACACCTTCAGGGCACGTCTAGGGACGTTCCTCCTTGCTTCCCCGAGCTCCCCTTGCCCTGGGTCGTCGTCTCTCTCTCCCTCTCTCTCGGTTTCCTCCTTCCTCTGTTTTTGCCCGAAAATGGCTAATGCAGAGGATTGGGAGATGTTTATGGCGTGCGAGAGGAGTCAAGTGGGCTCGAGCCCAGGCCACGGGACGGCGAGTGGGTCCCGGAATCCGGCGTATTCCGCGTCCCAAGACCGCAAGTTGGCAACTTGCGTTCTGTCGAGTCCCGGTCCGGCGGACCAGGAGTTGGTCCGGCTGACCGGGCTCAGTTTATTTTTTTTTTCGAACTTTTCTCCAGTCCGAGTCGTCCGGTCCGAGTCCGGCTGAGTGCTGGTCCGCCGCCGACCAGGCCTGGTCCGGCGGACCAGCTCTATATATTTTTTTCTTTTTCTTTTCCGTTTCTTCGTTCCTTTCTCGGTCCATTCCGCACGTGACGATCCTCGTGCCTCTTCCCGGCGTTGCACTATGTATTTTTGGTGATTCCGTGTCATCTCTATTTAATTATTTATTTTTAAATAATTAAATATTTAATTCGGGTTTCGGGGTGTTACAACAACCACTGCCATCACCATCACCATCACCACAACCACTCGTCCCATATTCTTTTAAACCATTTGACTGTTCACTATCCGAAATATCTATAACTTCTACCACATTACTCTCAACTCTACTCTTAAAACCAGGGCTCTGTAACACACAATCATCAAAATCCACCTCACATCGATTCTCATCGCCTCTAACAACGTTTCCATAAGCAGGTATTATAGCTTCATCCTCGACATCTTTTTCACATTCTGTTTTGACACATACATGTACTTTCTCCATATAAAGCATGCCTCTCATTCCACTTATTCTGTCCAGGAGATAAATGTGAACATGCTTGTCATTCAAAAGATATGTGGGCTTTCTGTTTTCTTTTACATTCGATAAATAACTTAGTTTGATCTTCGTTTTATCTTTGTCTATTGCCATCTCAGAATATAACTCTTCAACAAGTTGCTCATATGTTACCTCAGTTGGAGGACAAAAGAACAACAATCTTTGGTTGTCCATAACTCTCCCATTCCATTCGTATTCTCCGTTCTTATTCACAATCTATTCTCTTTCACAGAGAAAATAAATAATTGTACTTCTCTCCATTACATCCATTATACCTGTAAAAAAATTTACAAACCGAATGACACGTTACCAGAATGAATATGAAAATTGAAACGAACATGATTTTGAAGTTGTTATTGATATTAAAATCCATGATTAATCACTGCATAACCATGACAAGTCACTAATTCGATAAATTCGACCCATGTGACCCATGTGACCCAAGTGACCCATGTGACCGTGACCCATATGACCCATGTGACCCGTGACCCATGTGACCCATGTGACCAATGTGACCCATGATCTATATGACCTATGTGACTCATGTGTCTGTCCAATGTGATATATGTGACTCATATGATTGTGTAACCCATGTAACTCATATGCCTCATATGTCCAAATGTCTCATGTGACTCGATTTTCCCCCACAAAACACCGTAAACAACTCAAAAACAAGAAAAAACCTACATAATAACAGTATTAAGTCGAAACTTACCTATTTCCACGAGATTTGAAGCAATTTCGCAAATTATCGAAGAGAGAGCAAGCAAATCGGATGAATGAAGCAAATGTGAGGACACAAAGACCAAATCTGAAGGGAGAGCAACCAAATCAGAAGAGAGAGCAAATCGATGGGGAGAGAGCAACTAAATCGG